TAAATTGATAAGATCTTTAAAAGATATACTTATTAAAAAAAAGTTATTATTCAATTAATGAATACATTCAGAAAAATAATTTTTAAGTATCTGCCTCTCTCCTGTTCATTGCTATGCCTTTCGTGGTGCATGTGATTGTTAGAACTTGCATGTTTTGTTTAGTCACTAAGTCACATGTAACGCAATTTGTGAATAAATAAATAAATCTCTAACACCTCATCTACTATTAGAGCCCCATCGGATCCACTACTTCCTCCTGATTCACATCATCCACCTTTCATTGCGATTACTGACATGCATCAGACGTATAAACCAATGAAAAGGCGCCCTCTAACCAAGTATAACTTCCATAAAGCAGATTTTGACCTCATTAATTCCAAGCTTAAAAACACAAATTGGACGGAACTACTGCACGCTACGAACGCTTCTATCTGAAGCCTGCATTGAAACCTTTTATAAGACCATAGATGACATCATAAAACAACATGCACCACGTTCTAGTTCTCGCTCCGAAGGATTTCCTGTCTGGTTTTCATGTCCCCTGATTAAAACATTTAAATGTAAACAAAAAGCCTGGACTAAGTGGAAGAAATATAAAAACCCAAGTGACTACGTACAATTTTCCCAATATAGGTAGGTATATGAATACTGTAGAGGAAAATATAACTTATTTTCCTCTACAGTGTCCATAAACCTAAAAATTAGTCCACAACCAAATTTACTCGATTCTACATAAGACTATCATTGAAACACAACATGGTTTCGTTAATCATAGATCTACTACTAGTAATCTACTTACTTATACCTTTACGAATAATTTATTTGCAAGAATTGATGACGGCTTTCAAGTAGATGATATATATACAGATTTTAAGAAAGCTTTCGACAAGATGGATCATGAGATTCTTCTTAACAAGATTGCATTCAACAGTATTTGTGGTAATTTGCTGCGCTGGTTTGCACCCTACATTCAAAACCTTTCCCAAAAAGTTGTAGTAAATGTATATCAGTCAAGGGACGTTCTGGCGTTCCTCAAGGATCCATTCGTGGACCATTGTTATTTATTATTTTTATTAATGATATAGACAAATATTCCCTAACTCCAATTTTCTATTATATGCCGATGACCTTAAAGCCTACAAAACTATTATAAATATAGAAGACTGTATATCTTTCCAAAGCGACCTTGACAGATTGACAACATATTGCAACATTAATAAATTACAATTGAGTATTCCGAAATGTCGATATATAAACTTTACAAAAAAAGATAAATATTGTCCATTTTAATTACATCCTCTGTAAAAAGTTCTTGACCAGAGTGACAAACTTAAGGGATTTGGGGTTGGACTCTAAGCTACAACTTACCACCCATATTGATAAAATAGTCAAACAAGCTTTTAAAATGTACGGGTTTGTAGTGAGATCTTCTACTGATTTGAAACGAACAACTACATACTTATACCTCTACAAAAATTTGTTCGTTCCCAGCTTGAATATGCTGTACCTATATGGAATCCCTACTATAAAGTATACAAAGAAGCTATTGAGAAAGTCCAAAATAAGGTTTTGCGTTTCATGTAATATAGATGCCATAAATCTTACTTTTACTGCGAGTTTGGTGTTTTGTCGCTTGAATGTAGGCGTAAATATCTTGATGCCATAACATTGTATAAAATAGTCAACTGAGTTAGTTTTCAATTTAAATTTCGCAGTTCCTAGAAGAGCTCATATACGTGCTGTGCGCACTCGTAACTTGTTCGCCGTCAGTACATGTCGTACAAATACCGGCTTCTACCTATAACCGGCTACCGGTTCGCCGTATGATGCAGTCCTTTAACGAGTTTTTCAATTATGGTAATATAGTCTAGTTTACACCTAATGCTCTTGCTTTTAAAAGATCTATATTTGAAAAACTAAAAATGTAAAAATAATATTATTTTGGCTCCTTGTTTTTTAGTTTTGTTATTAAGTTTTTATTCAGCGTCCGCGACATTTTAATTTAACATTGTAAGTAATATGTGGATAGCGTTGTGGGCTGCATCATTGTGAATACATCATGTTATTGTATTTTAGATATTACTTTATTTTGTAGCTGTTTGCTGTTCCTTATTAATAAAAATAAAAATAAATAAACCCCTGTGAAAGTCAACGGCCAACCTGAAAATAGCATCAGTAATATTAAAGGGGCCGCTAACAAGGCTATGCTGTTAACATCAGCATGAGAACTTATGCCTTGCTGAACGAAAGAAGCATAGTCACCTTAGCCTTATTGGATCGTCAATAGCAGACATGATGGGAGAAGATGAACCAGTCAACAGAATGTGGATACATGACGTTAAAAGGAAGAAATTAAAAATAAAAAGAGCATGATCGTCAATCAACATATAAAAGGAAAACATGTTGGAAAGAATTTAAAATAGAGATATGAAACAGGATTACTCTGGAAAGAAAGAAGTATCCTTATACCAAACAATTTCAGAGAAGCAAAGGAACACTAATGTAGGCGAAGATGAAGATCTGAAATAAAGTATGAGAGGAGGATAGAGGACCACCTTCAATCAAGATGCAGAGTGTGTGCCTATACCACTAAATGAAGGAAAGTTCTGGTATCTACCTCATTTTTCGGTCATCAATCCTGCAAAGCCCCATATGCCTCTGAGATTTCTACATGATGCATCAGCATGCACAGCAAATGTATACTAAAGTGACATGATATACCCCATATACTCCAAGTATAGCATATTTTTCAAACAGACCTACTACAATTGTTAACTGGTGTTATACTGCGATTTAGGGAGTAACCTTGTACAGTGTCACATCTTATGATTTGAAAAGCAGTGAGAGGGGCATTCAAAAAAATATGGCATGTCATCTTTAGTATTCAGAGCTACTTCATCACCTTGTCTATCATAATACGAGGGGCATACTGAAATGAACGGGAATAGAATATTTCGGATTTACAATAAAAAAAACATTTTTTAGAATTTTAATACTGGCCTCTTTGAATCTTAATGACATTCAAACAATTAAAAAAATGTTTAAAAACAAAAACTATGTTCGTTTAAAGTTGACACGTCGTTAACAGAAATGGAGCTCACGCGTGAACATTTCCGTGCCATAAATTATCACAATTTTCGTCGCGGCTTATCTCAAGATAAATGTCTCAGCGAACTTGTTTCGATTTATGATGTTAAAGCAGAGAGTCAAACGACAATATACCGCTGGTATGCCGAGTTCCGACGCGGTCGTGTGTCGCTCAGCACTGTTTCTTCTGCAGGTCGACCAAGAACAGCGGTCACGCCTGAAAACATCGCAGATGTGCGAACTATTAGATGACCGTCATGTGACATACGAGCAGATTCGGGCTGTTATCAGTATCGGAATTACTGCAATTCAGTCGATATTACATAATGAGCTGTGTGTAAGAAAGCTGGTTTCCCGCTGGGTTCCCCACAATTTGTCCGAAGAGCAAAAGGCGGCTCGTGTAGATTGGTGCCGGAATACTCTGCAACGCTTCAACGGAGGGAAGTCAAATGCCGTTTATAATATCGTCTCAGGTGACGAATCATGGATTTATTCATACGAACCTGAAAGAAAACATCAGTCAGCAGTTTGGGTCTTCGAAAAAGAGATCAAACCAACGAAAGTGGTTCACTCCCGCAGCGTGTCAAAGAAAATGGTCGCTACGTTTGTCTCGAAAAAGGGACATGTTGCTACAATTCCTTTACAGGAAGTCAGAACGGTTACCGCTGAGTGGTATATCACGGTTTGTTTGTCAGAAATGATAGCCGAACTCCGAAAAAATAACCCGAAATGTCGCATTATCTTACATCACGATAAGACGAGCTCCCATACGGCTCGGAAGACAAATTATTTTTTGAAGCAGGAAAACGTTGAGCTGATGAGCCATCCTCCGTACAGTCCTGACCTGAGCCCAAACGATTTCTTTACATTCCCTAGAATGAAAGATTTATTACGCGGTCAACGGTTTGAAGACCCCGAAGTAGCTGTGGAAGCGTACAAATCAGCCATTTTGTCAACATCAACGTCAGACTGGAATTACTGTTTTATTGATTGGATTGCACGAATGGAAAAGTGCATTAAGTTGAACGGAGAATACTTCGAAAAACAATAAAATACAATTTAGCTATACCGTGCATGTGGTATTTTCTTATTCCCGATCATTTCAGTGTGCTCCTTGTATGTAAAAAAGAATACTGAAAAAATTGCCGAAGCTTTTGCGAATTTAAAGAACCACTATATGGACAACTACCTACAAAGCATCCTCACTGTCACTGAAGCACAATATGTAACAGATGCAGTCAATTAGTACAACTACAAGTAAGGTTCATGCTAGTGGTTGGGAATATTGTTTAAAATGGATTAGATTTACGACTTTTAATTTCCGAAATATCAATGTTAAAATTTGTAAAAGACTAGATATTATAAGTACATCTTCTTAGACTACAGTGAATTTTTATAAATAAAATACAAAGCAGAGATAGAATTGGAGTCTTTAAGAATTTATTTAGAAAATAGAAATAGAGTAAGAAAAAGTTAACAAAAATGCATTTAATGCTTTTTGCATATGTACATAGTGTAGATACATACAGTTACATGTTCTGCCATAATTACGACTTTGATAAATGTGCAAGAGCATCCCGTCCCATTCATATGTACGAGTAATTGTAACACTGTAACATTAGTGGCTGATGTGTACTGAGTAGCCAAATTTTAAACTTAAGTTCAAATATATAAATAATGATATACGCATACGTTATTGCAGTTTTTGAAAATGTAAGTAAATAAGCTTTCTTCTACTTTTATTTGTAAGTATCCCAAATTGAATGTGATTTATGGGCAAGAACATTTTTGTCTACCAATCAACCCTTACGAATGTGTGCGTGAGCAGTAAATTCAGGAAAATAATATCACACATTTTGAATTTAAAAGATAAAACGAAATGCTTGAGATTTTTTTTAATTAATTTTTCTTCACCATTTGTTACTTATTCTGAACCTTCTCTGCAGATTTGGCCGGTTATTAAAAAATAACCTTGTATAGTATGTATGATACATGGTTTATAAGACAAGAATAAAAAAGACAACTATAATGATGATGATAAAGATCTTCTTCTACCTAGCGTTTATCCCGGTTGCTCATCCCACCCAGCGCGGGAGAACCCAGGGTCCGCTTTCCTACACTTCCTCCTCCACTTTGCCCGGTCTTCGGCGTCCCTCACAACTACACCATTGGCGCGTATGTCATACTGCACGACATCAAGCCAGTATTTCTTGGGCCGTCCTCTACTCCTGGTACCAGGTAGGGTCATGTCCAGGCATTTGTTTCCCACGTAGCTTGCCGGTCGTCGTAAGACGTGGCCGTACCAGCGGAGGCGACTTTCCTGCAGCTTGTCAGCAATATCACGGACATGAAGGCTGCCGCGGATGTATGTATTCCGTACACGGTCTTTCCGCGTGACGCCACACATCCACCGCAGCATGTTCATCTCCGTGACATGCAACAACTGCCGGTGTCGCTCCACCACCGGCCACGCCTCACTGCCGTACGTAAGGACAGGTCTTATGATAGTCTTATAGACCTGTCCCTTCAGCTTGACCGGCATTTTGGGGTCACAAATGACACCCGTCACCTTGCGCCATTTCGCCCAAGCCGCTGATATACGGGCCTTGATGTCGCGATCGATGTCCCCTGACGCATCAAGCACAGATCCGAGGTACCTGAAGTTGTCCGTGCGCTCGACGATGTCGTCGCCTATACGGAGAGACGTCAGATCTGTGCTGTTGCAGGCCATATACTCCGTCTTCGCCACGTTTAGCTTATGCCCGCCATTCTCAAGCGCCTCCCTCCATGCGTGCACACGTCTGGTGAGCCATCCCCATCTACCACTGCGATATCATCAGCGTACATAAGCAGCCAAGGCTGCGGTAGTTTCTGTACGCTGGCTGACAGTTCGTCTAATATCTATATAATGGTTGCAAGTGGTCACGCCTGGCTCTGGCTACAGCTTTCTTGGCAGCTCTTTTCGCTGTCCTGTAAGATGCGCGATCTTCAGGAGATTTGGTCGCTTGCCACGTCTTGAAGAGCGCTTTTTTCTCCCGTAATGAACCCTGGACTGTGGCGTCCCACCACCAGGTCTCCTTGTCGATTTTGCGGCCCCCTTTCGCCACGCTGAGAACTTGCTTTGCAGTCTTTGTGATTACTGTCTGAATGGTTTTCGAGCACTCTTGGACGGACTTGCCTGCTGTGTCGAGACTAATATCCCCAGCAGCAGAGTCAAACTATGAGTATCTGGTTTGATCCAGTAGCCACCACTTGATTTGACGGCGGCAACTCGGCGTGTCTGTGACGGGGTTTTACGCAAAGGTCCATGACAAGAAGTCGGTGTTGGGCAGTGAGACAGTCACCGGGTATGACCTTACAGTTGGCCACGCGACTGATATGACTTCTCCTGGTCAGTAGATAGTCGATTTGAGTGGCGTTCCGACCGCTCGTGTAGGTAATCAGGTGCTCGGTTTTCTTTTTGAAGAACGTGTTCACCACGGCTAGGTCGGCAGCAGTGCAGGTTGTGAGAATGGTTTCTCCCTCTGCGTTTCTACGGCCGTAGCCATAGCCGCCGTGGACACGTTCATACTCCCCCTGCACCTCGCCCACATGACTGTTGAGGTCACCACCCAAAACGACATCGTGGGACAACGGTATGCCGCGTAGTACATCTCCGAGCCATTCCCAAAACAGTGTCTTATCCACGTCGCTGCAGCCTACCTGTGGGGCGTAGGTACTTATTAAGTGGGTCACAACCCCCTCAATAAGCAACCTTACTACCATAAGTCATTCACATATGCGTCTAACTTCCAAGACGCTATCGTGGAAATGCTCGGTGAGCACCAATGCCACACCCTTCTCCCCACCAGAAGAGCCTGTATAGATCGGCTTGTAGCCGTGCCCAATATTCCAGCTCCTGTTGGCCTTCCACCGTGTCTCCTGCAGGAATGCCACTGCCATTTTACGCCTGGCAAGTATGGCCACAAGTTCTGCGGAGCGTCCCATAAGCGTGCCAATGTTCCAGTTTGCAAAGCGAATCTACGTAGTTGATGATGATAAAGATGACTGCTTGTAAAAGAAGCCCTCATTAAGATCTTGATAACACACATCGGCACTATCAATAGTGGGATAGACAAAATAAGAGATTACATAGGTAGAAGATGTATTTTGAAGCAATAAATTATTATTATTATGGGTAGTTACGTGTAGTACACGTGGTAAAGCCATGCTGCAGCTATATTAGTAGTATAGTTGTAGCACGAATGGGTCAGCTCGACCGGGGAAGGACCACACTCTCACAGAAAACCAGCGTAAAATAGCAGCTTAATTCTTCTGTGTTTTGTATGGTGAGTGTAGAGAACCGGAGACCCATTTTACTGGAAAAGAGGCATTCCATCTTAGTCCTCACGGGTGACGATGCATCTGCATTTTGATTCTTGATTGAGGATAAATGTGGATGTCTATGGGTCACAGCAACCACTTACCATCAGGTAGACTGTGTGCTCATTTGTCACCCTATCCTATAAAATAAAATAGTTTATAACATTGGTTTTCCCCTAGTAACATTTAATTACTAGGTAAAAACATATATTTGATTATCTTTTATTGAAAATAATACATAGTAAAATTAAATGTTGAATAAATATTCTGCAAAGATCACCACATATAGAAAGTTTCTTCAAGCATACTGAAGATTACAAGAAAAACTGTGTTACCATAAACAGTTGTCAATCTTTAAACACACACACAATATTTATTCGAAAGTCGTTAATGCTACTCACTGTGTTTTTGAAATGTGCAACAGAATAGATACATAAACTAAGCTGATTATCACTTACAAGTAACATTATAAAACATAATTATTATGTAGGTAAGATATTTAAATTTAAACAAAAGAGTTTTATCTTTACAATGCTGGCATGATAATTTAATTATGCTATTATACTTTTAAATATGCTACATGATAATTTAAAGGAAATATTTACTACAAGATTAATGTTTTTTTAATCACTATAATATGGCAATATCACATTAACAACATTATGTTCATTCTATTCTAAAGCTAATACTTTTTATTTATAAATTATACTAAAACTGCTAAAGGGCCAATAGTGCATATATCAAATTATGCATTTATTCTTAGCAACAAGTAAACAACATTTCATGTAGAAAAGATTTCTGCAGAAACCTATGGCAATTCTCTACTAACCTGGCTAATTTGTCTCTTCCCACAGATTGGTTATTAACTCTTATTATAATATCCATCACTCAAGATTTTTTAAAGTAACAAGGATGTGATGTATTTGTTTATATTATATGGTAACAATTACGAACTCAGAAGACGAAATCTGTAAAGAATATAAAACCGTGCAAATTTTGTTTTGAGTATTTATGACGAATATCAGTAAACCTGGTAAAGGTTAAGTTAATTTACCAGGAATTTAAAGCTTGTGAGAACCAGAGTTAATGTGAATAAATGTCCAAATCCAAAGGTATAATTACAAACCTCTAGTATATATATACATTAATCTATGCTTACAAAGTCACGATTACGACGATATGAAGACAAGACTAGTTTTATTAGGTAAACACTAATTCCCTAAATTATGTACAACTTTTTCATTAAAAATTTAAGCTTGACATTGACAGTTGACATTTAGATCTTAGTTGTTGTTGTTGTTGTTGTTGTTTTTATTTGCTCGAGAAAGCAGGCAAAGGAACTAAGCCATACAGCCTTATCTTTTTACTTTGAATATATAGAATTTAAAAGTGTTAAGGCCGGAACCAAGTCTTATTTTTCTTCTTTCCATTTCTTCAAAATCCATAAAGGCCAAAGCCAAGTCTTATTTTCTTTAATTCTTCATATTTTCAAAAACCGTAAAGGCTAAAGCCAAGTCTTCTTTATATTATAATCTTTGTAAGTTTCAATCCATGTAGATTTGTCAATACAATATTTTCAAAAACAGGGATACCATATTTCATATTTCTTTTACATTATTATGAATAAAATCGCAAAGTGCTAAATATGTTTTAGTATTCCTAAGAACATCTTACAGGGCACGCGGGACGCTTTCTGAGCTTCATAAACTTGTATAAGTTTTTCAATGAGTAGCGATCTTTCTATGGCGTACGCTGGGCAGTTAAATATTATATTTTCAGCAGTCTGGTCTGCTTCTGTATCGCAGAAGTTGCATGTTGCAGATGCTACTATTCCCTTCCTGGAACGATGAGCGTTCAGACGATAGTGGCCAAATCTAAGTCTACATATTATTGTATAAAATTTTCTGCTATGGTATCTCTCGTTGCGAGAAAACCAAGGAATACTTAATTCTGAATTAATTGATGCATACCAACGACCTTTTCCTGCTTCTAAAACAGCATTCCATTGCATTTTCCATTCTTCTTTTAACTGTTTTTTTAAAATTGAATATAAATCTGTATGTGGTATTGCAACACCGGTTATCCTGTCAATATCAGGTGTAACCTTTGAGCATAGAAAATAGCTATTTTCTATGCTCAAAGGCTGTAACTATTCTTTTAGCTAAATGGTCTGCGCTTTCATTTCCTTGAACACCAATATGTGACAGAGTCCATAAAAATTTTACTTCCAAATTATTTTCTTTCAATTTCCACCACAAACTTTTGATTTCATATATGATGAAAGACGTTTTAGCATCTAAAGTACTTGCCTTCAGTGCCTTCAAGACACTCATGCTATCAGAGATCAGTAACCATTTATTAGATACATGTGGGTGTTCTTCTATATATTTAAGAGCGATTAAGACCGCATAAAATTTTGCAGTGTATATGCTTGCTGATGCAAGAATGGAAAAGCCACGTCCAGTTTTCAGATGAGGTATGTAAAATGCACAGGCTACTTTATTTTCAACTTTTGAACCATCTGTGTAAATTTGTCGATATTCACCATATTATGTAGATATAAGTGCATAAACCTCTTCTTTTCTTTTTTATTTTTCATCAATATTTATGTGTATATCACTGAATTTACTTACATAATTCCCCTTATAACAAGGCTAAGTATGTCTGCTTTTGTGAATATTATATTGTTCATCATATCGTATCACTTCATGAAAGTCATGGAGTATACATGGGGCTGAGTTAGATGTAGGAGACATACTATTATAGTAAAATAATACTTTTTGAAAAAGAGGATGATGAGACAAAGAATTAATATTTAATAAAAACCTAAATTTCAGATATTTAAACCTAAGTAAGATAGGAGGAGTAAGAAATTCAGCCTGTAAAGAAACAATAGGAGTTGTTCTCATAGAGACTTAGATCTTAGACCGTGACACCGTGTTCCGATATACAATATGGCCACTGTAAACTGTAAGGTGTGACATCAATTCAGTATACTTATACTGTGAAGCCGTTCCTTTTTAGTTTGCTATACTGTTACTGCTTAAAACGGAACGCAGTCCAGTATACTGTCATCCCCTTTTTGAGGTACCTGAACCTAACCTCACGATTTTTGAGTTTTTTTTATTTTTAATTTATTGTTCGTCGTTTTTTCGTTATTGTTCGAACATAAAAATTTTTTGTTCGTCTTTTAATTGTTTATAATTAATTAAACAAATTTCGTCCTTAGGTTGGCCTATTATTGTAAATTTTCACGCATACTGATTGTACTAATTTTCTTTAAGATCCCACCCCCCGGCGAACACACATTTGCGGGCTACGTAAAGTCATCAATAAACGTTGCAAATATTCAAAATACGATATGCGTTGTTAAACACATATATTCGCTGACAGTGACAGGCTTACGCACTAGAAACAAATAGCTTAAGGCCAAGTTATACTGGACGTAAGCAGTTTTGAACATGTCTCTCGATAATTACCAATTACAATTGGACCTTGTTCAAACGTAGTCACGACTGAGCATTTTAAAGCTACTGCTTCGTTAATTGCCTGGCACAGACAACTTAAGCTTTAGCAGATTTAAATTGAATACAATTAATTTTTCTCTATCTATGGATAAATAAGCAAGCCCTTACAAAAGTTACCACTGCTACGCTTGGCTATACATAGTACATACGCCGACAATTCCCAGATGTCTGTACAACGAACTCCTCCCGGATTAATTGTCCCAAATAAAGACTCCAACTATTGCAGTTCAATATATTTAGGATCCGGCACTTAATAAAGCTAATACCATAGAGCCGGTCGACAATTACTTTAACATAACATAGCGAACAAAACGGACTTTTGGTGAACTCAATGAACAACCCGGATACTCCTCCGAAATTAAGTATATGTTTGGACAACTCACTGCCCAACAAAAAACCAAATTCGAAATGTTAAATAACACTCTTGCTACCACAGTATCTCAAAACCAGTAAATTCAAAATTCAGTCGACTCTCTAACTGCAAAACACGATGACCTACTGAAGAAAATCCCAGCTCAGAGCCCAAACTCAGTACATTTAGTTCCACTCGTCGATGAGTTCCGTGGCAGTCTTCAAAGTACACTTTCAAGTTACGATATCAAGCCCAGAGGTAAGGTCTCATCATAACTTACAAAACAAGGCCAAACTCGGCACATCTAGTTTTTCTCGTCGAGGAGTTCCAGTAGTAGATACCGACTTCAGGTCTCAAGTCTCCATGGACCGGAATAAAGTACTCAGTGGCCGCAGCTCGGAGTGCGGTTTCGAACTATTTAGTAAAAATAAATTAACACAAGGCTATCAAAGCAACGAAGTTTCGTCATTTTAGAGCCGAAAAAAATTAATTATAACTAAACAAAACAAAATTGAACTGCCATTTACATTCCATGGCTTTCCATATGATAGATGTAGAGATTAAAAAATAGATTGAGTTAAACAATTGACATTTTCAAAAGCTATCGTGTTTACGGCGCCATGCGGACTTGATAAATCCACACCATAAGCCACTAAAACCCCTTTTTTATGTAAAAATAGCAATTAATCGGTTTTAGAAAATATTAATAAGTTCAACAATCATTTATCTTTGTAACAATGTGCTTTTTAAATCATTTATATTTATAATATTATTGCTAGATACTAATGCATACGACAAAATGCAGGAAACTTAAATTTTAGGCGCAAGTAGAACATACCTACGCGCTAGGCATGCAATAAATGAAAGTAAACTGTACCTTATACTTTTTTGAAAATATGATCTGTTTTTTTTTTTGTAAAATGAGACAATATTTGTATATATAATCGCTAAAATTAATTTAAATATAAAATGTATTTAATCAGTAGTGATGTGGTTTAAGGTTATATTGGCAAAGTCAACAACCCCATTTCGACCTTTATCGAATCCCATTACGACTTCAAAAATGAGGAGGCACTCAATTCGACTGTAGCTTTTTTTATGTGTGTTACCTCATAACTTTCTTCTGGGTGAACCAATTTTGATGATTCTTTTTTTATTTGAAAGCTGGTGCTCTCGTGTGATTTGATCAAGGTCTGACCAATAGTTGCTGAGTTATTCTTAATAATTTTTGTTGACGTAGGTTGTATAAAATTTTTAATTTTAAATTATCGTTGTTGTAGTATACATAAAAATGATAAAGAAAATTAGATAAGAGTAATTCCACGGGCCTAAAATCAAAGGACTTGAATAGTCGTATTTGCTCAAAGTACTTATCCAAATACTGCTTTGTTAACGAAGGAAAATGGCGAAGGCTGAAACCGAGTGCAGTTAGTTAAATTATCTCATATTATATACAAAATAAATGACACATTTTAAAAATTGTATTCTATATAATTTTAAGTATAATCTTTATCTTCTATACATATAATAAATCTGTAGAAAATACATATAATAAATCTGTAGAAAAGTCGTGTCTGTAATTCTAATATATTCTTGAAAAAACCAGTTCAGGGGACTAAATAAAGGGTTCTGAAGCCAAATTAGTGGTTTTTAGAATTTTTGTCTGTCTGTCTGTCTGTCTTTCTGTCTGTCTGTGTATACCGGAATCACGTTAAAACTACTGAACCGATTTACGTGAAATTTTGCATATAGGTAGTGAGTAACCCGGAGCAACTTATAGGCTACTTTTTATCCGATTACGGAACTTCAAAAAAGGAAGGTTATGTATTCTATTTCCTTTAGATGTTAATTTTCTATTATATCTTAGTTATAGGCGAGATGACGGGTGTTTTTCAAATAAAAACCATATTTGTAAATAAAGTTTAAAATATAGTTATAATCTTGGTAAAATAATTTGAAACTACACCGATTTGGTATTCAAAACACCGCCATCTATCATCAAATGGTAGAAGTAGTATATTTTGGCCTTCAATTACTAATAAATGAAAAATAATATAAATTACTTACATTTATATGATTAATATGATTAAATGATTAGATTTTTAAAATTATTAAAAAAATTCTAACGTTTACTTTTTTAGTATTTTTGTTATTTTATTTTAAAAGTGTAATAATTTCATTAGATAATAGTGATGTCTATCAAAAATATCATTTTTCAGCGAAGACTTCTTTGGTCAAAAACTCTGCGGCCTGTACCCAGTAGTAAAATGTATGTAAGCTACTACTTTTTTTACTTTTTTATATTATGCAGTTTTTATGTCATTCGTGGTTTCGGCTATGTTACTTTTTGTTTTCACTCTACCGTAAATATTAAGGGTTGCAAAAATGAGTAGAACTCATTATCGTCAGCTTATCAAAAGTCCACTGAGATGAACATAGGCCTCCCCTATAAATTGTCAAGTAGCTGGATATTTGCTATAGTTGCCACGCTTGGTAGGCGGTTTGGCAACCGCAGCTATTATTACTTTGATCTGTTGTCAAGAAGATGATGCAGCCCATCCCATCTCCAGTTTGTTTTCCTATGTCGCCTCTTACGACAGGACGATATGAGGATATGATGACATTTTTCTACCCCATGGGTGTAGTGATCCTCACGTTCCCTGTGAATAAAATTTATAAGGAATAAAACTAATTTGAAGGATTTTATCGCGTTTAATTTTAACTTTTCAAATTATATATAACTTCCCGGAGCTTCGGTGCTTCACATCAACGATATGTTCTTTTACTCAGAACTTTCATCTAAAATGCGTAAAAAAATCCGTAACATTAGTTTTAATCGATGTGTACTCTTGTGGCAAATTTTTTCGCAGAGCGGACATTTTTGTTGACATCAATGCTGGAAAATTGTAGGTCAGTCAACTCTGAATGGTATACTACAGTTGCATTACACAAAGCTTTTCAAGCTGTGCGGGAGAGAAGACCAAATACCGGACTTCGGGGAATTATGCTGCATCACTATGACGCCTCTTCACATACCTCCCTTAGAACAAAAGCATTTATTGAGGAATCTGGTGTTGAAACTCTAAGTTACCCACCCTACAGCCCGCACTTAGCTCCTTGTGATATCTTTTTGTTCCCAAGGGTCAAAGAAAAAATAAAAGGCAAGTTTTTTTCAAGCGCCGACGGAGCTGCCTACGAAGAAGAGATTTCCGACCTGTCAGATCAAGACTGGCAAAAGTGTTTTCAGAGTTGGTTTAGGCGAATGGAACTTTGTATAGAGCATGATGGAGAATATTTTGATAAGATGTAAAATAAATATTAATAGTATCTAGAATACTTTTTGCATATCTCAAAACTTATTGCGTGACCTGCGTATACGTTTAAAAAATATAAACTCTTCAAAAGATTATTAAATTTAACAATATTTTACTTTGAAAAGTCCCTTTTCTGAAAGCGCCAATATTTAAGTTTGCAAGTTTGACTACGTAGTACTATTATTTATTTTGTGGTTTGACTAACTTGAATTTTAAGAATTTGAGCTGAGTGATCAGATATTACAAAGTCAATAACCTCACTAGAGCATTTTATTCTTGTGTTAAGAGCAAAATTGTCCAAACATAAGTAAGGCTTCTTGTTCTCGTCGGCTGGTTTATTTTCAACTTAAGGTAGTAGTTTAGGAGCAAAATTCAAAGTCCAAAGTGAATCTATTACGTTTCAATATGTCTATGTTAAAGTCTCCGCATAATGCCAACTTTGAATTTGTTTTCTTGCACAACTTTTTTAACAAAGCATGTAAGGTATCGTAAAAAAGATTAATGTTGGACATGTAGGGTGGCCTATAAATACATACTACTATTAACTTATGTTTAGTTAATTCTATTGCACAACATTCAAAAACTCTTGTGATAGAGAAACACATGACATCACTCAGTACCTCAAACTCGATATAATTCTTAACTAAAATACACGAATCTCCTCGCCTTTGCTCTTTTCTAGAGCATGCTGCCAGTTTAAAGTTAGGTATCTTTACAAAGTTTTCTTGACCCTTGTTTCATCATAGATTATACGTAAGAAGAATGATCAGTATGTAATAATAGATTGTATTGTTAACTAGCTTTTTACCCGCGGCTTCGCTCGCGTGCGCTTGAATTTAGGAACATTATTAAATGCTGTTCCGTGCCAAATTTAGAAAAATTCGATCACTTTTAGTCACCTCGGTGTCTATGTCTTTAAGTCTGTCAAAGATTTTTTTCATTCTAAAATACTATTAGACGTAGATGATTGGTAACATGCCACAGAAACACGTGAATATATTATACATATGTATAGAAACACCTGCTATTTTTTATATAGGGCGTGTCTTCCGAATTCCGATGTATCCATAAGAAAGGTAAATATCATAGAATTATTACCCAGTTCTGCCTCTCATTGTACTGCAAATGAATGAAGAGTTTAAAAATGTAATTAAACAATCAAAGTGGACATGCTACTCATACCTATATTCCTGTATTATATTTGAGACCAATATTGTTACTAATTTTTTTTAATAATTGTGAATTATTAAGTTTTTTTTCTGTTTATGATTCCCTATCCAAGTTTGGTCAGTTTTCTTCTGGACCCTAAATGCAGTGTTTTTACTGCAGAGGTATATGCGGCTCTCGAGGGCCTGAAGAGGATCGCACATATAAATAGTTTTAATAATTTTTTAATTTTAACCGACAGTTTAAGTATGGTCTAAAGTTTAACTTATCTCTTTAAAAAAACTATATTTTGTATAATATTAAAAAATTGTTATTTAGTTATGCACAAAAGGGTATACAGGCCTATTTTATGTGGATTCCATCACATAGGGGCATAACAGGAAATGAGATTGTGGATAAAATTGCACGTGATGGAACCAACATATTGGATGTTAGCTCCATAGTAACAGTACCTTTGACCGACTGTTATCAATCTATTGAAAATCAGATCAATAGTTTATGGGTCGAATTTTGGAAACAAGACCTGGAACAGAAGGGTAAATGGTATGGAAATGTTCAAGAAAACCTACCTGTAGCACCATGGTGTAACAAACTGAAAATGGCCAGTCGGGACTTATTACCACCATCAACAGGTTACGTTTTGGTCACTCCACCGTCCCGGCCCACCTGGCTCGGTTGGGCATAGTGGAGAGCAGCTACTGCACCTTCTGCAATAATTTTGTTGGTGTTTGTGATAGCGAACATTTCATATTTATGTGTGAGTGCTTTTCATTTGACTGATTGATTCTTGTCAGTGAAATTAGTGACATAGTGCAAAATCAAATGACAGTGTAAGATCCCTCCCGCCGCCTGAGTGATATGTTAAAAAATAGATCCTATTACGTGCCTCTATATAAATTCATCAAAAATGCAGTGGGGAAATTATAATAAACCGAAAAAATACTCAAGACTTGGCCTAGAGGTCTAGATACCAGGCCATAAACTCCAAAAAAGTAAAAATAGTCTATGTCTACTCGAACTTGTCACCTCCCGATTATATTAGGATTTTGGCGGGAACTTGATCGGCGGCAGCTTGCTGCTCCCTCCTGTATTATTGTTTAAATAATGGTTTGAAGTGGACTTTGATATATAAAAGTGGTGCGATTTTGTGTATTAAGTGTTTGCGCATGTGAACTATTAGTGGAAACTGTGAAACAAGTGCTGTGATGGTGATGGATTCTCAAGATAAGCTGTTTGTTTGCATAGGCGCTTTTACATACCATCGCCAACTGTCAGCTGCCTGCTGGCTCAAGTTGCCGTCAAAATCTGCCAAGGGCTACACAATGTGACACATCAATATATTGTGAAGCAGTGAACTATGAAGGATAATTACACATGAAGACAAGGCTGTATGGTATAGTTCCTTTGCCTGCTCTCTCGAACGAATAGTAAAAACAACAACAACCGATTATATTACCTTATCTATGCTTGTCATAATATCCAATAATATCAGTCTACATATTTATTTATCTATGATATCAGTGTCGTACTAACGAGATTGTGTATACAAAAAATATATTTTGTTTTGTTAAAAATTTGATTTTGTACAGATATTTAAAATGATTGATGAAAATATAACAGTGAGTGATAATTCAGATATCGATGAAGGCGGTCCTGCGGAACTTCGTGGGTACCTTAGTAAATGGACGAATTACATTCATGGTTGGCAAGATAGATTTATAGTTTTGAAGGATTCCACTTTATCATATTATAAAAGTGAATTAGAGAGTAATCTTGGTTGTCGTGGTGCGTTATGTTTAAAGAAAGCTAAAGTAAAGGTAAATAAAAGCAATATTAGCAAAATTTATTTGTTTCTGCTGCAATGAATTTGTCCTTGTAGTTGGTAGGCATCTTCCTTATATTTAATTGTCAAATACAATAAAAGAAAGCGCTTCGGATATATTGCCTTTAAGAAACACTCGTTTTCTGTGTTCTTCATGTCAAATAGTATTTATATAATAGTGTAACCTTTCATCATTTCATGGTACCTATTTTGTTGGATTGGCCTTTATTACTTAAAGAAAATAAGCACTGGAAAAAAAAGAGATATTTCCTATTATTTAATTTACTTATTTTTTGTTTGCACACACGTCATGTACGAACCTATGGACTTAATGCTATAGGGCATTTTTTGCTATTCTACCTTAGAAAATATTAATAGGGATAGGGTTCAGCTTTAGAAACTGCAATCCAATATATAAAATTCATATTTTCATGGTAGAAAGACTTACAAAAGGTGTTTAAAATCCATAGCTTTTTTGAAAATCAAATTATAAATAAACTGTCCCATAAAAGATAACTAAGTGCAGTGACAAATGTTTAATGACATAAAGTTTAATTTCACAAATTTAAATTTAAATAAGTCCAATTTCCCCATTAATGTTCTGAAAATTTGTGTGGGCAGGGAAGGGTCAACTTTTCCCTAGTTTACACTCTCCTGCTTCCCTCTTTGTGCAGCAGGATACTATTGGAGCAACTCCAACATATTATAAACACAACAAAATAAATTTTATAGATACATAAATAAGCCTTGGTAGCTCAGATGGTTAACACTTGCTGTAAATTTCATAGTATGCGAGCCACCCGGGTTCGATCCCTGCTGGCACTAGTGAAATTGTTAATAGAAATTGTATGTGTTAATTTCACTTGCTTAGTAGTGAAAGAAAACATTGTGAGGAGACCTACATGTCTGAGAAATAAGAAAAAAAATTCAAAGACATGTGAAGTTTGCTAATACACGTTAGGGCAGCACGGTGGACGTTTCCTTGCCCTAAAATCCTCTCAGAAATGAGGGGTGGCCTGTGGCCAGCAGTAGGACATATATAGGCTTATACATATGTACATATAGATACATAAATAAATATGTAAAGTTTTCGCATATGAAGTGATTTGGTACGATTTTCCATTGACTCCCATCGAGTTGGGGATTGATACATATTTTTACAGAAAAGTTACACTATTATAAGCACACACACAAAGTTACAACATGCGGAAGCACGTAATTTTAGAGAAAAAAGTAATTGAAAATCAATTATTCTTGCATTGTTTATGTCTAATCCGACAATAAAACTGATGCCATTTTTTTATTGTTATTGTCAGTAGGGATGTCGATTCTTTCCGAAAAAGATTGATTTTTTAAACAGATTCGAATTGTAAGCTGAAGCAAAAAATCGATTTCTAAAATATCTATATTTTTTTCATGTTTGCATTTATAATGTAAATATAAATCCACTTTATGAGAAAAAAATTCCCGTCATCATAAAATATAGGGGGACTGATTCAGAAGGATTTCTGTATCTATTTTGAGATTGCTACGTCTCCGGTGCTTTAAAACCACTCTAGGGGTAGGACAGACTCGTACCAGGTGGAGTCGGGGTCAATCAATTCAGTTCTTTGACATAAGTTGAACTTAACCTATTTTATTTGTTATCTGCCCTAATTGGTACTGTTAAAATAAAACAAATTTCAATAAGAGATCATTTATTATGGTATCTTTCTTGTTTTTCATAAAATGGAATTATATTTACATTATAAATGCAAACATAAAAAAATATAGATATTTTAGAATTAGATTTTTTGTGAATCGATACATCAGCTTACGATTTGAATCGATTTAAAAATCTACCTTTTTGGAAAGAATCGACATCCCTACTGACGACAATGACATTACAAAATGGTGTCAGTTTTATGGTAGGATTAGATATAAACAATGCAAGAATAATTGATTTTCAATAACTTTTTTCTCAAAAATTACACGTTTCCGCATGTTGTAACTTTGTGTGTGTGCTTATAATAGTGTAACTTTTCTGTAAAAATATGTATCAACCCCCAACTCGACGGGAGTCAATGGAAAGCTAAGCCAATTATTTCAAAGTTTAATGGCTTTTGGGATAAAATGGGTATTTGAAAGAGCACTATAGTTCAAATTATGATAAATTTTCCTTTTAAATTTCAGCCACATGAATTTGATGACTGCAGATTTGATGTGTCCGTAAATGACTGTGTATGGTACTTAAGAGCTTCTAATCCTGAGGAGAAACAACAATGGATTGATGTCTTGGAATCATTTAAAGTAAGTAAATATTGATTAAATCACATGTTAAGGGGGGGAAAGGGGGGGGGGTTTAAAAGCTATGTAACGTCACATGTTAAAATCTAAAATGAAGAATTTATGTGGAAACAAAACTTAAAAATATGATGATTAAGTTTTGTATCTTTTTAACATTATTAATTGCTTATCATTCTTTTATTGGTCTCTTGTTTTGTCTATTATCTAAAATATTTGACTTTATTTTAATTTTAATAAAGATTATTTTAATAAAATCAAAATAATTTAATTACTTCTGAAATATAAAAATGAAAAATATGTGATATCACACCAGGGGGAGGGGGCTTCACAAGTGTGGCAAGGACGAGGGGTGTGGTGTCAAAAACCATAAAATTTGTGTGACTTAATTTATGGATGGCCCCTATGGTTTGGGAATTCCCGACAATTTCAAAGTATCGGGACACGGGACTGCCTATAATCAATGTCCCGGGAATTCCCGTGACTTCGCGACTTTTAAGAAAAAGCTTTTTTGTTTTATTTAAGATGGGCAAGCCTCTTTTAATGAATTTTAGTTGAGTTGATTTCTGGTGCAACGTATTAAAAAGAGGCAATTTTTTGTAAATATTAACATTTATTAAACAATTAAATAGAAAATTAAATAACTTTAACATTAATTTCAGTCTTAATAATTGCTTTGTTTATTTCTTTTAGTCACACACAGATGCAATTCTAAACAGTTAAATCTTATAGTTATGAAACGATCTTAGTTAAAAATCATATTAATTCTTAATAACTTTACTATCATCTAGTAATTCTAGTTTCTAATCATAGTTCATAATCTCATTGTTAATTCTCATAATCACATATTTGTTTCATTTATTGTGTTGCGTAATCAATAGTTAAGTAGTAGACCAAGTAATTATTCATTAAACTAACACATGGCGCTAGGCTCCTTCAATTATTTGAAAATTAAAATGATTACATAACAATTTCGACAATCTTGTCTCGTCAAATTATGAAAATTCCCGAGACTTCGAGACACGTGACGTCGCTAATGGCCCCATATATCAAACAATAAACAAAACTAAACAATATTTGTTTAGGTATGTAAATAGAATGTCTTTTTTGTTTTTACATCTTGATAAATTATAGGGAGTTTAAACCTGCCAGCATTCAAATTGCTTTTAATATCTGAGTCATTTATGATAGCAAATGAGTCATGCTCAGATATTTTCTTTTATCAAGTTATAGGCTTGAGATTACATTGTATTAAATATTATCAGCTACCTAATATAAATATCTTGCTCCATTATAAGATTAAATACATTAAGTTTGGGTTATGCTGGCATATAATGGCTTAGCCGATTTATACAAGTAGGCACACACCTCAGGCGAACCCATGCTACCCAGTGATTCCGTTATCATGGTCCTGGTCTGGCGCGCGTTGGACTATGACGGGTCGAAGCATGCATGTTACATAACATGTGGTTTCACATAGAATTAAAATTGGGAAATTGAGAATCTTAAAGTTAATTGCCTCAATGGTCTGGTGGTCGTAAGCCAAAAATCACTTATTGATTTTATTGTTAAGGAATTCTCTGTAGCAATCCATAGCCACAATGTTGGCTTTGTTTGACTCCTCGAAAAACATGTAAAGCCATTGGTCCTGCACCTGAATTTTCTGGAATTGTATCCTATTGCTGTCACAACGGACTATGAAAGTGAGGAAAAAGAGTGTGCATGTTAATATGTCCAAACCTGCGCAGAAGGCTAGTCTGCTGAGATTTTCCATTGTGACCTAAATTCGCTCAGAAAAACATTATTATACATAAGAGTGCATTACGATCTAATAAGACGAAACGAAATGAATATAGCGACGTGATCACACGATCCGCCACTACGCTCACTCGAGTCATTATGGGTGTACTTGGAACGCGCCTTTGAAGTTACCGACTTTAAACGGATCAAATGCGCTAGTTTGCGTCACCTTGAGTCACAGCCTTCATGCGCTTGAAGCCAGCATGACGGAATAAAACCATAAGCCTATATATTATATACTAATAATTTTTTAGTACAAATATTTATTTATTATTGTATACTAATAATACTAAGAGCTTTTACAATAGCTTAGCAATGAAAATATGTTAATTTAAAAATAATTGCACAGCATGCCAGTTGTAATTGCCAATTTGCTATATAAGTGTGGATCCAGGATCCATCCAGTGGTAGTGCATAGATATGAATGTGGTTACAGCCAATCAAAATACCAAGAACATAGCCTCCCCATAGATCGCCACATAGGACGATATAGCCATGATTGGCATTCGGGTTGGCAACTGAAAGACACTGCTGCCCATGTCTTCCCACTGGACGATATGCGGTAGTGGATATTGATACACCACCTGTAGATGTTGAAAAGATAATTATGATTGTTTCCATTCAAATTATTCGACTTACTCAAATGAACAAACTTTGTATTTATTTCCGACTGGCATATGACAGTGTGTCAGCTAAGTTCGGATAAGAAAACCGCACAAATAACTTTGTCGATATTTAATTCTTATAGCTTGAATTAATAAAAAGAAAACAGTAAAATCTAACTGAAAGAAAAAATATCGAAGGTCATGTATTTATTTAAGATTAATAAAAAGATATCAGAGATAGTAAAAAGCATTTGTTTCTTATTGAACGATTATCGGGTTTGCCAGCTTCGCTAATAAAAGAGTTGAGATTTTAATTTAGTTTTAAATTTTTAGGTGGAGTCGGGGTATGGAACTAGCTCAGATAGTAGTTCCAATGGATGTGGTCTGCGAAGACATGGATCAGTTACATCTCTACAATCAACAGGGTCACATGGTTATTATATTGAATTAGACTTTAAATTTTTAGACAACAATCAGTAAATGCAAATAAAACATGGAAGTATTACTTCAAGGGAAATAAGCTTGATGTTGTAAGTTTTGAACGTGGTAGAGCCATGCTATGAACGTGGTAGAGCCATGCTGCAGCTATATTAGTAGTATAGTTCTAGCAGGAATGGGTCGGCACGCCCACACTCTCACAGAATACCATCGTAAAGTTGCAGTTTAACACTGCTGTGTTTCGTACGGTAAGTGTAGAGATCCGGAGACCCTTTTTACTGAAAAAGAGGTATTCCATCTTAGTCCTCATGGGTGACAACACATCTGCATATTGATTCGCAAACGAGGATAGATGTAGATGTCTATGGGTCACAGCAACCACTTACCATCAGGTGAAGTGTGTGCTCGTTTGTCACACTATCCTATATAATAAATGCCCGCAACATTGCATAAAATTTCAAACAAACTTACTGAAATTTAAGCTAATACTTTATTATACTTTATTACATCTCAGAATGCACAGTCAAATGTGAGGCTAACTAAACTAAATTAACTATCAGTATGGTCTGGTATCCTTGGTGTCCACCATATATCACCTCTCACGGAAATAAGCTTTACAGAAAAGTAACCGAAAAGTAAACACTCAGAATTATTTTATTGTTTTATGAAATGAACATGTCAAGCCCTTATTTGTTCTTTAATTGATTTCTTTTATTAATTGGTTGAGTAGAAGTTTCCATCCAGAATGCAGAAATATTTATGTCAGCAGAGGTTTTTTGCCCCAGCTGGGATTTGAGTCCTCTACTCACATTATTCAGATCAATAAAATATAATAACCCTTTTTTAAATTATAGGTCGCACTTCGCTCCGTCTCACAGAGAAAATCGCCGAATTGGACACATATAGCGAGTTATTGTCCAAGCAAGCTGTGCAATTGCAACAGTACTTCGATATGTGCGTTGCGTCATACCCGCAGATCAGCGACGAAACTGTCGAAGCTATTGATGCCGTTAAATTGGCAGATGGTAAGACAACGTTGTTTCTGCTTAGTGCTAGTTGCAGACATGTGATAAAGAGCTTATTAATGACTAGTTGATTCACGCGACTTTGTTCGCCTTGCTTACCTATATGTTAACAAAATGTGTGTATGTGCGAAGGAAAAAACATCAAAAAGACAATATTTCTTTGTAAACAATGTCATTCGTTGCTCCGTTTCAAGCCAAAAAACGCGAGAGCAAGCGACATACAGTTGACCGTGTGAAAAACCCAACATAAAAATCGTTTCTTAAAACTTTAATAACTTTATATTAAATGAAGATATTGCAATCATTCTTTCTTAGATAAGGGCCAAGTGTCTAAGAAATAAAACTTTGAAAATTTTCCCGTGATGCGCGCACAACTGCCAAACTCTATCATTTTATTTATATAGATTATGTTACAGAGGAAAACAAATCAGGAAATGGGCAGCAACATCTTCCTAATAATGACTGAAAATAAATAAATGCGGTTGCCAACCCGATTGCCAAGCGTGGCAACTATGGCAAACAAACCCCCTATTAGGCAATCTATGGGGGAGCCCTATGTTCAGCAGTGGATATTAAGAGGCTGTAACTGTAACGATTTTATAAAAAGTTAGCCACTTTCGAACAAGGCGTTATCATTCTGTTACAATATACGAGTATGTTATCTGCAGAGCACTTGTAGATAATAGTATCACAAATACGCCCACGCGGATATGAGACAATCACACGCTGTCATCAAAGTTGTGAATATAATATTGGACCAAGATAATTAGAGGACATTTTATGGTATTAAGACGAAGATGTCGTATTCTACTCATTCAGCTAATTGGTTTGGTCCAATAATAAAAAATCATTTTTGGATCAAAGGAATTTAATCCTTTCTAACTTTATACTATTCAACAGGTGAGTTGCCAACAAAAGTGAAGGGTTAGAAAGTGCACCTGTACTTGCGCACACAGAAACAGGAACAGAAACTTTTTTATTCAATATAGATTATAAATAATAGTTACTGAAAGTTACTCTTTTGTTTAATTACCACTGGTTCGAAAAAACCTATGGTCTGGGAAGAACTAGCAAGAAACCCAGCGGGACTTTTTTTAAAAATAACTTACAATCGTGTATGTTACACAATTAACCACACAAAACAAATTAGAAATAACTTGGTAGCCTAGATCACCTCATTCCCAGGGGTTATTATCAACCATAAATTCCTTAATATATAATAACCCTTTTTATACAAACTTTGATTAATAAAGTTTTTGAACCTTGAGCAGGTCAAATTTTGTATATTTTCTGGGATTTTGTTGTAATAGCATATACATCGCCCCAAGAATGAATTACTGACTCGGTGGAGTCGAGTAACTGGTACTACTAGCTTGTGTCTATTTCTACTATTTACAGAATGAATATCACTCATTTTTGTATAACTACTTTTATTTTTGTGTACGTATATTACATTTTCATAAATGTATTGAGAGGGCAAAGTTAATATATTAATTTCCTTAAATTTTTATCGGAGCGACTCTTTAGGTTTTAAATCATAGATTGCTCTTATGGCCCTTCTGTATAACAAATATAATTTCAGTGTCAGTCGCGTGTCCCCATAGCAAAATACCATACGACATTATGCTATGGAAACATCTAAAGTTAACAAGTCTAGCTGTTTCCACATTGATAAGACAAGACTCAGTTCTTCCCCATTTAGTATTACATTATTATTTATATGTTTTACATTTGGATTCATGAATTTCATACATTTCGTTTTAGTGCCATTTAAATGCAACTTATTAACATTAAACCAATTTACTAATTTAGATATAGCATTATTTAATTCGTCATATTTTAATAATTGTCGTTTTAATTTGGAAATTAATGAAGTGTCATCAGCAAATAATACTATATTATGGTTATCCCCTACTATGTAAGGTAAGTCATTAATATATACAACAAACAGAAAGGGGCCGAGAATTGAGCCTTGAGACACGCCCATTTGTACTATTGACCCGGAAGAGCTCATACTATTAATGACGACTTTTTGCGTTCTGTTACTTAAATATGAAATAATTAATTTAAAAGCATTACTTCTTACACAATAGTGTTGTAGTTTCCTGATTAATGTTTCATGGTGAACACAATCCAAGGCTTTGGATAGATCACAGAATATACCCAAAGCATCCTGTGAATTCACTCAACACCAGCATCAGTTGTCGAGCGACCCCTTGTGAAACCGAATTGATTTTTATAAAGTAAATTATTTACATTAAAATTTTCTAACAATTGATCAAGAATAATTTTTTCAAAATTTTTACTAAGTGTTGTCAGTACAGAAATTGGTCTAAAATTGGCGGAGTCTAATGTACTACTAGATTTAAATAAAGGTATTACTTTACTATGCTTCATTAAATCAGGAAACACACCATATTCGATACTAGTATTAAAAATAATAGTTAGTAGAGGCGCGATTATATCTATTATATACGAAATAACTTTAACGGAAATCCCCCACAGATCTGCAGTTTTCTTAATATCAATAGTTTTAAAATATTTTACTATATAAAATATTTTAATACTATATATTTTTTAAATATTTTTGACGATATTTTATGGAATGGAAAGTTCTTTGTACACGGATTTACATTTTGTTTAAGTAATGATTCGGCGACGGTGGGAGAAGAATTTAGTGATTTAGTGGTTAAGATCGGAATATCAGTAAAATATTTCTCAAAAACCTGCAACATCCTGATCTGATTCAGTTAATTTTGTTGTTAAAACTTAACCGGTAGTTTGAATTGCGAGAGTTGACTTTACCAGTTTCACTATTAATTTATCATATTATACTGTAATCCTGTCCTGGCCCGAATCCATGACGGTGCTGCAATTTGAGATGTTGGCTTTGACATTTTTGAGCATAGTGATTTCTATCTATTTCTGTGAGAACAGATTTGAAGATGATGAAGCGGTATTCGCTGCAGTACTGGAATTTTTAGGTGCTCAGGATTAAAAGCTTTTTAGGAAGGTAATTTTAAGCTTAAGTATAAATGTATATTTCAAGTGTAATGCACTAGGAAGGTGACTACATCGAAAGATAAAATAACATTTAAGAAAAGTTACCTGTAAAAGTAATTTCCCGTTGGGGTTTGACTGTTTCAAATTTCCACTTGGTAGTGAGGTAAACTAAACTATACACTTACCTAAATGAGGTAAAGGAACTGTGCGATGGTTCCTTAATTAAATTTATATGGGACCACATGAGAAGCACCAGTTTTCAAATAAAAAAAATCGGTTCACGTAGAAAAAGTTATGAGGTGACACACATTATAAAAAAGAAAAAAATACAGTCGAATTGAGTACCTCCTCCTTTTTGAAATCGGTTAAAAAGTGAAAGATCTATACGTTTTGAAGGGAAACTAGAGAGCCGTGTGGTAGCGACATGAGAGAATCTATCAACACATTTAGTCCAGTGGGTGTCGAGCCTTCCGATAGATGGCGGTCTGGTCATCTCGTTTGCGCCAGATTTAAAAAACTCAGACCAGCAACGGGCAGCAGCGTCTAAGGTGCGAGACGTCTGTTAATACGATCGTGAATATGCTTGCTAAGTGTGACGATTAAGGCAAAACCTCGCTAAGATAAGTTGGACTATTAAGCCGCGTCTCCACCAAAGTTTTGTTACCAACTGTTGTGTTGCCAACACGTGTTGGTAACAAATGTTTCTGTAATTACCTAGTGTTGGCAACAAAACTTGAAACAATGTTGGGAACCGTGTTTCCATTTTCAGCGGTAACATCAAAGGAATACGCTTGTTGGAAACATTTGTCGGCAACATCGGAAACAAATATTGGTAATTTTTTTGAGTTGTAAACAGTTGGAAACATAAATGTTGTCAACATTTTTGGTGGATACACGGCTTTACGGATGAAGAAAAATAAACGCAATACAAGGTCTTTTACAATTTAGAGCATTTACATTTTTTCCACGTGGTAGAGACACGCTGCAGTTATATTATAGCTGTGGCACGAATGGGTCGGCTCAACCGCGGTAGGACCACGTTCTCACATAATACCAGCGTATAATAGCAGCTTGATGCTGCTGTGTTTCGTATGGTGAGTGTAGAGAACCGGAAACCCTTTTTACTGAAAACAAGACATTCTGCCTTAGTCCTCAGGGGTGACAACGCTTTTGAATCTTAATCGCGGATAAATATAGATGTGTGTGGGCCTCAGCATCCGCTTATCATCAGGTGGACTGTGTGCTGTCACCCAAATTCTGTATAAAAAAGCTTCTGTTAAGGGATATGCTTACATATAAAAAAAATTCCACAGGTGTAGATTTGCGCATGTACACAGGCGAAGTCCGTGCAACGAGCACGTCGTTTAGAGCGACATGTGGCGCAACTCTAGCGACTCTTCAGCACTGCGTCGAGCTTTTGCGACGGCGTGAGAAACAAGCTCGACAGGCAGAGGAGCTTTATATGTGAGTTCTATTCACGTAAATTCCGTAGTAAAAGTAAAAAGTAAAGAGTACGGTTAAAACAAATGCTACCAATCTCATGCATAGGCACAAAGTAGCTAGCCTTTCGGTGTTTCACAGGATTTATTTTGGAGAGTAAGCGCAGGAATTACATCACTTGATTCCTCCTATTCTGTTCCTTCATCGTACGACTAGACGCTCGACTGGTCGCCCCACCTTTGTCGTCGACATACTGCGCATTCGATCCAAACGGTTTACTTCTTCGTTCGTAATGCGTACAGCAAAGGACTAGAATAATTTGCCAGAATATTCAAGGCAAGAGTAAATAGACTTGTTAAGCTAAGTTTATGTGCCTTGCTATCTTCGGCTGCGTCACCACTTACCATCAGGTGGATTAGTAGTCTAGCACTGGCTTGTAATAGTTAGGTTAACCAGTCTGTATATTTCATGTATAAGTTAGCACACTTAACTTGATTGTAGTTTGCAATGTGAACCGAACTTTTGATCGTTTGACGTCCCTATGTCATAGTTAATGAAGGCCACCTTCAAGTTTTAATTATCAATTTTTGGTCCGATCTACGCAGAACGAGCTTACAGTATTTTGAAGTCTTGCAATATGCTTGGCTGTAATGAATGATTTGATTATTCGTTTATATTTTTGTTAATTATAACAGTTAAATAAATTTTTCATAGAAGTCTTGTTGTAGGGCTTTGAAGAATCAATTGACAGAAGCAAGATTGGCGTCGAAACCGGGACCTGATCACGAGGTAAGGATATAATTACCTGTAACAGTACTGCTTGAAATGCTATCAAAACAATAACACTTACTAACCAAACCATCTTCACGTTGTGAAGATCACCATAAAAATTTAAATAGATAGTAGAGAAGAACTAGCATATTATGTTAATATTTGTATGCAAACCATTGTTATATTTTATGTTTAACGTATGATTTAGAGAATCTTCTTCTGAGTAGTGAGTACAGATTGTGGTTTGATTACCAGAAAATCCTCTCCTCGAGTGGCATCCACCTGTTTGCCTTTCGTTTTTAGGAAAGCTGTAGCAAAAAAATATCATGGCATGTTATGTCATTCGAAACGAAACGTTAAAACTAGTAAGAAAAATGATATCGATGCTTAAATCAGGCACCACTATTTAATAAGTAACTCACAGTTCTAATGGCGATACATCATAGCTATTATAACAGCTGTAAATAAAAAAAATAAGGCCGTACCTAAAACCTGTCCTGCCAGATTAAGTGAGACAGTAATGAAACAACTAAAATATATACAGGATTATTTTGCAATTTTTTTTTATAGGATAGGGTGACAAACGAGCACACAGTCCACCTGATGGTAAGTGGTTGCTGTGACCTGTAGACATCTACACTTATCCTCAATAAAGAATCAAAATGCAGATGTGTCGTCACCCGTGAGGACTAAGATGGAATGCCTCTTTTCCAGTAAAATGGGTCCCCCGTTCTCTACACTTACCATACGAAACACAGCAGTGTCCTGCCATTTTACGCTGGTATTCTGTGAGAGCCTGGTCCTTCCCCGGTCGAGCCGACCCATTCGTGCTACAACTATACTAATAATATAGCTGCAGCATGGCTCTAACACGTACATACGCCCAAATTTGCAGAGAAAGTTCAAAATAAGTAATATAGGTGAATGGTGAAGAAAAATAATTAAAAAACATCTCAAACATTTTGTCCTGTTTATCTGTAATGCATTATTTTAATTGATCGTCACTCATAAATATTTAACACCTACTATTTTACTACTTACGCACATATTCGTAAGGGTCGATCGATGAAAACGCTGTGAATTGAATCGTACACGGAGGAGCGCGCGTAAGCGTAGTTGTTGCCCATAAATGACTTTCAATTTGGTATAATATTTCAAATAAAAGTACAAGCCTTATTTACTCGTATTATCAAAACTGCAATAACGGTATAAATTATTTATATATTTGAATTTAAATATAAAATTTGGATACACTTTGTATATCATTACGTGAAGATAACATTTTGTGCCTGTTTTTAAGCATATTGCGCGCACGAAGGAGTGTGTGGGTTTTGGCAGAGAAAAGGTATAATGTAATTTAGGTTTTTGAAAATATTTTTTGTTAGAAACAGTAAGATTTTCTATAAATTTTATAATAAAACTATTTTTTTTACCAAAAATTAAATAATGATTTCTTATATTTACGCGAACACTACACATTGAATAAAACTATTTTACTAAAAAACTTAAACTAATTAAACGCGATAAAATCCGTAAAAATAGTTTTATTCAAAAATTAAATAGTCATATAACAAATTAAAATAAATTTTTGAACTCAGTACCGATGACGACCCGGCAGTTTCCGAGAAAGGCCGATGCGACGTCACAATGTTTATTTTGTTTCTACTTTACAGGCAGCGGATGCGTGTATTCATTCTAATTAGTTTGTTAATCATAATTGTTGTTATAGTTATCATGTTTTTTAGTAAATTTATTAAAAATGTCTAATTTAAAGAGTTATCGTGCGTGTTTCGTTCCGTTACGTAGTAATACTACAAAACCAAGTCTCAACAAAATGTTTTTAAATGTGCCTCAAGACCCTAAACGTCGGATTCAATGGTTTCAAGCAGAACACAATTTTAATCCTAAAACCACGTCTTTTTTTTGTTGTGTACTACACAAGTTAAATTGTCGACTCAACCGCAAAAGGCAAGGCAGACAAGGCAAAACAAAAACAGAAAATTCTTCGTGAGACCGGTTTCACACATTACTGGATTTAATTATAATTTTCAAAAACTTTTAATAATATTAACAGTATGTATACAGACCCGAGCTGTTGATAATGCTTTTATATATAATGACGCCACTAATATAGCAGTTACTTACGGCGAGTTTTGTAGGCACGTGATAATTTATTTAATTTTTATAACTTTTAATTATTTATAATTATACATAATTTGAATTTTTTTGCATCGATTATCAATATGAATAGCGTTAAATTATTTAAATACAATAAAAATGATAATTAATTTTCATTCAATAACCCAATTACATTAAATTAAATTGAATAAACCATACGTTATTTCCGTCATACTGCCTATTATATAAACTTGGACAAATTATGTTGTTTGTTATACATCCACATGTATGTTATTACTCTAAGGCCAATGTCAAACACTTAATAGTCTGTGGTCAAACAGTCGCACAGAGCAGAGATTGTCTCGGAAGATATTGACTGAATAAGTTGTGAATTTTGTGTGATTTGTAATGTTGCTTTTTCAATAGTGTGTGGGCAAAATCCCGCTCTATACTCACACTGCACGGAGCAAACAGCGATAAAACCACGGCGACCCCTGCCACGCTATCCGTGAACTTCACAACATCAAGGGACTTCACTCGAACCTTAACGCCGTCCACTACAATCTAGAGACGGCGAAGCCGGCCTTGCTCTTTTTGACCGAGACGCAGGTACTTCGTACCTATCCTACCCGGAGTACAATTTTTTTTTAATTTGGTTTTCGCTAGTTTTTTAGAGTTTACACCCCCCAGCCAGGCTAGCATATGCAGGAGACAATTTTATCCCCGGGGCAAGGAGAGAATGTTTATCCCCTCGCTTAGTTTTATCCACCCTTCGAGCATGGGCACACAGGTGGATATAATATCCACAGTAGATAAAATGAGAGATAGACTTAGACTCAGATATATTTTTTGTATGAATTTTATATTAAACCCACGTCTAATGAACTAGGACAAAATTGTCCCTTATTTTCATTATCAAAAAAGCATAGTTTTTTTATCATTTATTTGGCTTCATGTTATGGACGGGGGATATATGTCTACTTCGTTATGTCAAACGGGGATATACTTCTCCCCGTTGCCGTGCTTTGGCATAAGGACAAGATAATTTTATCCCTTGTCAGTGGATATAATCGGTGGATAAAATTTTTGTCCCCAGCCCATGCTAGCCGTGCAGCGGGAATGAATATATTGTTGTTTAAATTAGAACACTTCTTTGTCCTCACTGACGTATTAATGACGTATACGCAAACTCCAGCCCGGGGCTGGAGTTTGCGTATACGTCAGTCAGGATATCAGTTCTCGACGCCTCGGTAGTGTTGAAGGTACGGACCTATTCATCCTTGGCTGCGCGTAGAGAGCGACGACCATCCCCGCGTCTACGGGTGCCTGTATAGGTCCCATAGCGGTAATGCCAACACAGACCGACTCATCGACCATGTCCAAATGGCTACAGATTTCTTGCTACAACAAATCCCATCCGTAGAGATCGTGATACTTGGCGATTTTAACACACACTACGCCGAATGGGTCGGTTCACGTTTAACCGATCATGCGGAGAGATCTGTTAATGACTTCGCCTTGGCATATGGTCTGACACAACTGGTTACTTCGCCTACGCGGATTCCAGATGTGGAGGATCATATACCTTCCCTGTTAGACCTTCTGCTTACCTCTCATCCGGACGGATATCAGGTTTCCGTCGATGCCCCTCTTGGCTCTTCGGACCATTGTTTCATTCGGAGTGTGGTGCCACTCACGCTCCCCTCGCGGTTGCGTTCTGCAGGCTGCCGCCGTGTTTGCCATTACAGGTCGGCGGATTAGGACGGAATGCTATCTTTCTTTGCATCCTGCCCATGGGGGTGGGTTAGCTTTTAGCCGGATGATCCCAGCGCTGTTGCTGACTCTGTCACTAATGTGATGCTACAGGGAATGGAACTATATATTCCATCATCTGTGGTACCCATCGGAGGCAGATCTCAGCATTGGTTTGGTCGCTCCTGTAAGACTGCATTACGGAGTAAGCAGGAGTGTTGTCAGGCCTGGGCTGAGGCTTCGGCGGCTCAGGATGTTAACACCAGCATGCTTCAAAAGAAGTATTCCTTCAAAAGAGTTATTTCTAAGGCAAAGTATGAGCACATTGGCAGAATTGGCGAGAAATTAGTACGCCTTCCTTCGGGAACCCGTGCATTCTGGCCTCTCGCCAAGGCTGTTCAAGCTATCACTACCATCTCTGCACAGGAAGGACGACTCACTGGCCCACGCCGCAAAAGAGAAAGTCGACTTTTTAGGGTCCTTTTTTGCGTCCAACTCGACTCTCGATGACGGGGGAACACACCGTCGACCATCCCGCAGTGTGAGTGCTCTATGCCTGATGTGCGATTCACACAGTGCTCCGTATGCAAAGCACTCCTCTTCCTGGACATACACAAGTCGAGTGGGCCTGACGGAATCCCACCAATTGTGCTGAGGATGTGCGACTCCTACTCCCTAGGCGTTGTCCCGAATTCACGGAAGATTTCTTGCACTCGATCCCTAAAAAAGGTAACCGCCCTGATCCGTCCAACTAGAGGCCTATCGCTATCATCTCCTTGTTCTCCAAAATAATGGAATCCATTATTAACTGCCAGCTCGTGCGGTACCTTGAGGAGTACCAGCTGATTAGTGATCGCCAGGAGGCATTGGCCGTTAGTTTGGACATAGCGAAGGCCTTCGATCGGGTCTGGCACAAAACGCTTCTTTCGAAGCTTCCTTCCTATGGGCTTCCCGAGAAATTGTGCTTCTGGCTGATCGGAGCATCAAGATCTTTGTAGACAGTGCATGCTCCGACTACAAGCATATTAACGCTCGTGTTCCACTATGCTGCGTGCTATCACCAACGCTGTTACTTGTGCATATCAATGACATATTGCAAACCGGTAACATTCATTGCTATGCGGATGACAGCACTGGTGATGCTCTGT